AGACCTTTCTCAGTCTGTCCTATACCCACCCTGGTTCTCACGCGCACCAGTGGGTGTGAAAGTCTAGCCCAATCTGGCACACCCCAGACCCAGTCCATACCCATGCTGAGAGACACTGCAGTCATGTCCAGCCAGCTCTTATGCTCACTGGTGAAAACCACAACCCAGCTGAGAATTCCCCTTAGCTCTCCAACCAGGCTTTTTCCCAGCCACAGATCTTGCGTGTGCCAGTGGTTGCTCTGACCCAGCTTGTCATAGCCCATCCTCCTGTCTTGGGCTTTGCCATCAGATGCTGCAGCCTGTCCTGTCCTGACCTGCCCCCAGTCCCAACTCTCGCTGATGGCTGTTGCAACCTGTCCCTGCACAATCTGCTCCCATCCCTGGCTCATGCAGATAGCCTAGCCCAGCATGACTTGCATTCTAGCCTGGCTCCTGCACATGCCAGTGGGCTAAGGTTAGCCCGGCCCTGTCCAGTTTGCCCCCCTCCACAACCACCTCACACACTTACTGATGGGTGGAACTACCTCGCCTGGCCTGACCCACACTCAGGTCTGAATCTCATGCTCACCAGTGGAGTTACAACCCATGAAGGGGGTTCTTCAAGCTTTCCCACCAAGTCCACTCCAAGTCCCAGATCTTACATGTGCCAGTGGGTTTTAGGCCCTTACCTGGTGTAGTCTGCCCCCTCTGTCCTGGCCTTTGTATGAGCTGGTGAATGTTGTGGCCCGGCCTAGTCCACACCCTATTCTTGGGTGTACCTGTGTTTGCTGCATCATGAACCAGCTTGGTCTGTCCCCTTACCCATGAGTGTGAGGGTTCATGGTCATGCCTAGCTCAGCTGTTCATTAACCACCAGTTGTTAAGCAAAGCAGTGGAAATTGCAGTTACACAGGAGTGGGCCCACATATCCCCCACAGAATCTGCCCTCATACCTGGTTCCCTCACATGCTGGTTAATGTTTTGGCCCACCCTAACATTACTCATTCCCTGTTCCAACATTTACTGGCTGATACTGTGATTTAGCCCTACCAGGTAGGCACCCAGCCCTAGCTTTAGTTTTCGCTGGTGAGTGGTGGTTGACAGTGATTCATGCTAAGAGCTCCTGTTTTGACCAGGCTCAACCTTAGGCATTGCTGCCATCTGGGGTATGAACGAGAGGATGGAGGATTTCTCTCACCCTTTGCAACTTTACCTTTCAAATAAATCTTTTTTAAAAAGAAATACTCTCTCTTTTAAAAAGGAAGTCTGAAGGTGAGTCAAAGGGGTAAGTTAGAATCTTCTGGAATCTTCCCTAGGCATATGCACACTTGTGTATATTCATCTATCATTTCAGATTTCCAGAAATGCAACAGATTTTTTTCAAAGCCCCCATTCCTCATTTTTTTTCTCCTTTTTTGGGCCAATCTCTTATTAGCTTCAACTGGTGTCATCACTTCAGACAGCTTCAATGTTAATCAATAGGTGTTGATTGGGACCAGACAGAAAGCTCTTAGTCACGTTAAAGAATGAGAGTGGAGCCTTTCCAGGAACCTGGCAGACAAATGAAATAGTGACACCTCTCTGGGGACGAGGCTTCTTGAGATGTTTCCTATCTCTGTCAGCACCCCTCCTCCAGTGGCTGCTGCACTGCTGTTTTTCATTGTTATGGGTGCAGGGCTGTGGTTCTCTGAGCTTCATGCCCCAATAAGACAACCAGGGCATTCGTTGTGGCAGGAGAGTTTTATCGCAAAAGGATATTAGAGAAGGACAGGGAGGAGGAGGCGTACTGGCCACTGGGTGACAGGTGTTGTCTTTTTATACTCCCTGGCCTGGGAAAGTATCATGTATACATACAAAGACCCACATCTACAGCATTAAGATGGGCATGAACAGGCAGGCTGGCTTGTTGATGAGTGTTTAGAGAAGTTATCCACTTACTGTGTATGCCCTTAGCTGCTCAGTATCTCCTGGACAAACAGGTGGGTTGAAGGTCAGAGCTAGTACAATCGTAGGTCATAAAAGTCCATAGTGACATCTTCAGGGCCACTCCCAATTGCCAGGTATAAAGATAATTATTTCTATCCCAGAAATCTAGCCAGTCCTGATAATCTGTAAGAGGTGACTTTCAAAAGTTCACAGGACAATGGAATTAAAGACAATGAATTTCTCTGCCAAAACTTTGGAAGTCCCTTTATGTTGTCTCATGGGAACTTCATGTCATGTTGAGTAGAGTGAAGAAAACCTTGTACACAGGGTGGTTCTAGTCCTAAAGATTACACTGCTCAGCTTTTAATCGTTGTGCATCAATGATTTATACCAGTTTACTTATTGTGTATGGATTATTTGTGTAAGGATGTTCCCCAGACTCCTTGAGGGGCTGGTTACAGGATGGTTTGGTCTCACTTGCAGGTCTCTGATTCAGAAGATCTGGGAATTTGCATTTCTAGAAAGTTCTAACAGTATGTGGGTGTCACCACTGGTGGGGCCCATGCTGGGAAGTTCTGAAGCACTGTGAGACTTGACCAACTACGATACTTTCCCCTACTGTTTTGCTGCTTAGAGCTTGCCGAGAGCAATAATCAATGAGTTTGTTTTCCTTTTGCATCTGTGATCTTCCTTCTACAGTGGTTGTGGGGCTCCATTATTTGCCACAAACAAGACTGATCATTTTGGATGCTCTAGAATTACACAGCAGTCAAGTGGCAAGAGCTATCCAAAGCCTGATCCTAACTCAGTGTTTGCTACTGTGCCAAATGAATGACAGCTGATATCAGAGATCTATTTTTAAATGTCTATGAATTTAATAAATGTTTCTCATTTTTTTAGAAAGTTATTGATTTAAAAATCTCTTAGCTTGTTTATAAATAGCATAACCATAGAATGTATTGTCTGATCTGAGACAGTTTTGAGACCTGAACAGGGTCCTACTAGTAATAAAAATACATAAATATTTAAAAAATATTAAAAACAGTTCTTAAAATAAATCTTTATGTATCGAAAGCCAGAGTTGAGGGACAGAGATGAACAGACATCTTCCAGCTGGAGATTCACTCTCCAAACTGCTGGAACAGCAAGGGCTGGGCTAGGCAGGAGCCAGGAGCCGAGAACTTCAGCAGGGTCTCCCACATGAGTGGCGGGAGCCCAAGCACTTGAGCCATCTTCTGCTCTTTTTTTTTTTTTTAAGATTTATTCTATTTTTATTGGAAAGATATACAAAGAGGAGGAGAGATAGAGAAGATCTGTCTGTTGATTCACTGTCCAAGTGGCCACAATGGCCAGAGTTGAGCCATTCTGAAGCCAGGAGCCTGGGGTTTCTTCTGGGCCTCCCATGCAGGTGCAGGATCCCAAAGCTTTGGGCCATCTTCTACTATCTTCCTAGCCCACAAGCAGGGAGCTGGATGGGAACCTGGACTGCTGGGACACAAACTGGCACCCATATGGGATCCAGGTGCGTGCAAGGTGAGGACTTTAGCCACTAGGCTACAGTGCCACTCTACCCCCTTTTTTTCTTTTAAGATTTATTTGTTTTATTGAAAAGGCATATCGGGTTTACAGAGAGGAGAGACAGAAAAATCTTCCATTCACTGGTTCACTCCCCAAATAGCCGTGATGGCTAGAGCTGAGTCAACCTGAAGCTAGGAGCTTCTTCCAGGTCTCCTATACCAGTGCAGGGTCCCAAGGCTTTGGACCATTCTCCATTGCTTTCCCAGGCCACCAGCAGGAAGCTTGATGGGAAGTGGAGCAGCAGGGACATAACTGAAGCCCATATGGGATCCCGGTGCTTGCAAGGTGAGGATTAGACATTGAACCACTGCACTGGGCCCCATCTTCTGCTGTTTAAGAGAGTATTTGGGACATCAACCAGTGCCCATATGGGATGCTGGTATTTAAGGTGGATTTTACTGTCCATGCCACAGAGCCATTTTCCAAAATTAGTTTTATAAATGTTTATTTCAGGCAACTGTCTGCATAAGGCTTTGGTGACATGAGAGGGCCAGACCTAATTCTAAAGGCAGTCAGAAACTCTTAAGTAATTTTCATTTGTAGCAGATTAGATGATCTCTTTGAATGATAAATGCTTGTTTTTATATTTGAGAGGAGAACTCTGCCTAGAAGGATTTCTGAATGGTGTTCAGAGAGTTTTTTTTTTTTTATAAGGATAAAGCTCTTTTTTCTCCCCCTTATTAAAATCTAGTGAAGTTTCAAAGATAAGGCAGATGTTTACATTCAGTACAAGCAGACATTTGAGGCTTAAGATCATAACAACATAGTCTGTTGGCCCAAGCGGAGTGATCCCAGCCACCCACTAGAACTAAATTGAGTTCCCTGGCTGTTGACAGAAATTTGGGGAGACATTTTTCTCCTGTCCCTCTTCTTTGCAAATAAAATTAATTAATTAAGGTCATATCAGCACGAATATTTTCTTCCAAGACCTCTAACTCTACTCTCTCCCTTTACCTATGGAGAATGGAATCTGAGGGGAGTCGTGGTAAGGGGGCTGCTACTAGCTGAGAAATTACCAATGCACTTTTTTTTTTTTATAGCACATGTTCAAACCATCTGCAAGGATGAACACAGCAGTGCATCCAGATGTTAGCCGTCTCTTTTTGCAAACCTGCATTGTGAAAGCACGGTGACCTACTTCTTTTGCTGGTTCTGCTTGGGATGGTCAGGCAGGAACCGTCACCTCAGGGTTCCACTGGGTCACGGCTCGCCAGCGGGAGCCTTGCTCCTTGGCTAGAGACGCGTTTCTTGATTTCCGCGTATAGGGAGCGTGAATAAGCCACCGTCTGGTGAACGTGGAGCAGTTTAAGAACTCCTGGCAGGCTACGCGCTCACAGAGCAGGGTGCCGGATGCGCCCGGGATGAACCGGGGACGCGCGGCTGCTGCACCTGCGGGCGCCGAGGACCGCGGCCGGGCAGGCGGGGCCGGGGCGGGGCGCGCATGCGCGGCGAGGGGGCGGGCCCGGGGCGGGGCGGCGCGCGCCGCCCGGAGCGTGTGGCGGCGGCGAGAGCCGGGGCGGCGGGTTCGCGGCCGGGGCGTGCGCTGACGGGCCGGGGCCCGGAGGACCAGCAGCACCCTGAAGACGAGCTCGCAGCCCACGACCGGACGAGCGGACGGCGCCGCTCCTGCTGCTGCTGCTGCGGCTGCGGCGGGCTCGGGCGCGCGGCCCGGTGGCACCGAGGACCACCGCGGCACCAGCTGCGCGGCGGGCTCCTCGGATCCGGGCGCACCACCAGGTGGGTGGGCCGGACCGGGTCGGGAGGCGCGGCGGCTGAGGGGAGCCCTGAGGGTGGCTGGGGCGCTGAGGGGGAACCGGCGGCTCCCGCTGCTTGCTGGGCCGCGCGGGGACGGCGCCCGCGGTTGTCATGGAAATCATCCAGCCCAGCGGAGCCCTCGGCCGGGGCGTCTTCGCACAGCAGTCCCGACTGTGGCCCGAGGAGGCCCCGCGCCCGGGACTGGCTGGAGCGGGGGCCGGGTCGCGCGCTGTCAGGGGCTGGGGGAAGGACGCGCGCCCTTACCCGGGTCGCGCGGCGTCTCCCCGACCCCGGGGCTGGGGCTGGTGCCTCCCGAACGCCCAAGGCCTCAACGTAACCGGGCATGTATAGGACCTCAGGACTGCCCTCTGGCCACCTCTGCATCCCTCTTCTGTCGGTACCCCCATCCCCAGCCACTTGTCCTGGCACCTTGGCTTTTTCTGTCCTATTTCTGCCCGGCTTGGCTAGTCGGCTCACTGAGGCCTCTAAGACATTTGCGGGGTTCTGTGCGTGGTTCTTTCCAGTCGGCGACGCGTAGGCCTTGGGCAGCTGAACCTCTCCGAATGGCAGAGGTAAACGTAGACGTCTTTGTGGGCGGAGGAAGGCTATCTGGGTGGCCTCTGCTCTCTCCTGCCCTCTGACATTACATAAGGATGCGTGCCTGCCTCCTGCCTCGGATTCGTCCCCCATGACAGATGATGAACGAATTCCTTCCGGCGAGAAGAGAGGGGAGGCGGCTGAGAACCCCCCCCACCCTTCTTCTAGTGGAGGCTTGGCTATGCTTGAGTGTTTAAGTGGCTGCCTTCGGATTTGATTTATCACCTGCCCATTAGAATGGGCATCTCTCAGCCAAGGCAATGGGGGGTCGCCCTGTGGCTGTTGCAAGTGCAGTTCTGTTTGGTTCATGCCCTGTGTCCAGTGGGTTGTGTGGTCTGTGGGGCTGGGCCCGGGGCTGAGCTGGCTGACTTGCGTGTGAGTGCTGGTTCTGTCACTTGCCCCCTAGTTCTCCCCATTCTCATCTCTCCAGAAGGCAAGAGCAGAAACTCCTTGGCCCAGTTTACTTTGAAATCTTAATGCTGTTTAGGTTGTCCTAGAATTAAGCCATTTTTCCTCCCCTTTGGTTGAAAACAAGCTTGCTTTAGCAGGAATGATGTGCTTGGCTTGCAGTCTGGAGTCTGTGTTTTGGAGGTTCTTTGCTGAAATGTTTGTTGCTGGAAGATTGTGGTGCAAGGAAGGTGAATGATGCTGTCCGCAGGAGAAGGCCAGCATGGTTGGAGGGGTCTTGATGGGAGACCATGTCCCAGGGGTGGTGCTGCCGCTGAGTGAGCCAGGCAAGGCCTGCTTCCCTATCATGTAAACACGCTTCTATAGCAATAAGCCAGAGTTTTCGGGGATAGGAGTGTGGGTGAGGGTGGAGGGTGTTGGAAGACAGAGATGAAGGCTGGGAAAATTAAAAGAAAGGACTAGATTTTTACCGGGCCCTCAAGTGAGTTGTGCTTATCTAGCTACTGTGCCTAATGAGTTTTGTTTACGCTGTGTTCCATCTCAAGAGTGTTTACCCGCCCCTGTCTCTTGAGTAAACACGGCACCAGGGGCTGACCTTATGTTTTATCCTGTTGCTTTGGAAACTGGATTTTTTATAATATGCTATTAAAATGAATATTAGAGATTAAAAAAATGACTTTCAGGAACAAGGAAATAAAAACAGGGCCCTGCATGGTAGCCTAGCAGCTAAAGTCCTCGCCTTGTATGTGTTGGGATTCCATATGGGCGCCGGTTCTAATCCAGGCATCCCTGCTTCCCATCCAGCTCCCTGCTTGTGGCCTGGGAAAGCAGTCAAGGATAGCCCAAAGCCTTGGGACCCTGAACCTGTGAGGGAGACCCAGAAGAGGCTCTTGGCTCCTGGCTTTGGATTGGCTCAGCTCTGGTCATTGTGGCCACTTGGGGAGTGAACCATCGGACAGAAGATCTTCCTCTCTGTCTCTCCTCCTTTTTTTATAGCTCACTTTCCAATAAAAAATAAGTACATCTTTAAAAAAATAAATAAAAACAATATATGTGAGAGCTTTTTTGTAAGTGGCAGTCTGCCAGAATGGTGGGCTGTGTTTAGCAGAGAGCCCTTGTGTCCAGTTAACCAGCTGCCTAGCTGGGAGCATGCTCAGTGAGCATCTCTACAAATGTACCCCAGGCAGGTACAGAATTGATCCTGCACTCCCACCCTATGATTTAAGTATTCAAGAATTCACCAAAGGAAGGCTGGACTGGGTGGGTGGGGTGGGGAGGTGGGGAGAGAGAGAGAGAGAGAGAAAGAAAGAAAGAAAGAGAGGCTGGCTCACTGTCCATGAATATTGGTTTAATTTTTTTTTTTTTAATGGAAAACTCCCTTAAGCTGCCCTATTCCAGAAGCGTCCTCTTAGTTTCATCAGCTATTCATGGTGTCAGGAAGATTTGACTTTCGCTGAGGAAAATGCATGAATCGGCAGTGAGGAAGGCTGGATGGTGGGGCTACTTTTGTAGAACCTGATTATGAGCTGGTTTGGAGAGTTTTTTGTTTTGTTTTGTTTAAATTTATTTGAAAGATCTACACAGAGAGAAGGAAAGACAGAGAGAAAGCTCTTTTGTCTGCTGGTTCATTCCCCAAGTGACCACAACACCACAACAGCCAGAACTGAGCCATAGGAGCCAGGAGCTTCTTCTAGGTCTTCCATGTGTGTGCAGGGTTCCAAGGCTTTGGGCCATCCTTAACTGCTTTTCCAACCACAAACAGGGAGCTGGATGGGAAGTGGAGCAGCTGGGACACGGACTGGTACCTGCATGGGATCCTGGGGGATGCAAGGCAAGGATTTTAGCCACTAGGCTACCCCACTGGGCCCTGGAGAGATCTGTTTTAAACAGCCTCCACTCCAACCCCTTGTTGTTTATAGTCCTACAACAGAAGCCCCGTCAGAAGTGCTTAAACTGGGGACACTAATATTAACATCTGTGCAGGCTTGCTTTGTTTTGTCTTTCTATGCTTTTGAGGAAAACAGCTTCTTGAACTTGATCCCTAGAAATGTACATGTATTTTTGTGCCTTTGCACTTTTTACTTGATTTAATTTTTTTTTGTATTTTGATGGGATTTCAGGCTCACAGAAGAGTTGCAGGAATAGTCAAAATTCTCTGGAAGCCTTAACGTGGACTCTCCAAGTCTTGACATGTTGCTACTTTTGCTTTAATTCCTTTCTCACTCGTTTGGAATTATTCTTTCCCTGAACTGGTCAATGATAAGTTGCAGGCTTGATACCTTGTCTCCAAATCCTTCACTTTTTTCAAACAAAAATGTTCTTTTCATAATAGCAGTACAGTGATTGAAAACCAGGAAATTCGTGTTGATAAAACACCTTTGTGTAATATACAAGTCTTATTCAGATCTTGCCAGTTGTCTTAGTAATGGCCTTTAAAGCAAAAGAAAATTATGGATTTCCTATTGCACTAAATTGCTCTGTCTCTGTCATCTTTAATCTGAAACAGTTCCTGAGTCTGTCTTTGTACATCTCATGATGTTGACATATTTAGAGATTAGTGACTGTGTTTTTAGGTAATGTCCCTCAGTTTGGGTTTCCTGTGGCTTCCTTATGATTAGATTCAGGTCCTGTCCTTCTGGCAGGAGTTGGCAGAATCGAGGCTGTAGGGTTGTCAGTGTGCTCTTTCAGGAGGCACCTGCTAACTGTTAGAGCATTGACAGGTCCTACTTACTTTGGTCCCTTGACAAAGGCCTTTGTAGCCTCATTGAGAAGTTACCATCTCCCCTTTGTAGTCAGCATGTATCTGATAGGAAGACACTTGCTGGGATGTAAATACACTGTTACTTTTTGTGCCCTACTCCCTGGTTTTAGCCATTATACTGCTCACTTGATTCAGTTATGGTGGTTGACAGATGGTAATTTCTAATCTCACATTTCCCTCTGCATAGAGTAGTTGGAACTTTATTAAAAGAAGAAAAAAAAATAGCTTTACTTCTCATTCATCATCATCATTATTATTATTTTTACTTTATTCGAAAGATTATTAGTCGTCTTACTCATTTTGTTGCTCTGCTTGTCCCAGGTCTGACCAGTGGAAGCCCCTTCAAGCTGGATCTTATGTTCTTTTGACATATCATCATAATTGTCATCGGACTTTTTTTTTCTCCTGGTACAAAATCTTCAAGACTCTGCCTGTATTTTCCCTGACTCTGTTTTTTTTTTTTTTTTTTTTTTTTTTTAGTGAGTGGTATTAAAACCCAAAACCTGGTCATTAGCATGCTCGATTCTACTGAGATGTCACTGTTGGTAGACCTTATCAGTGGACAGTTATTCTTTTTGTAAACATAAATGTAATCATGGTATGCAGAATTTCTGTGATTTCTTTTTTTCTCACACATTAAAAAAAAAAGGTATTTGAAAGGTAGATGGAGATCTTACTACCACTGTTTTACTTCCCAGGAAATTCTGGCCAAGTTGAAGCCAGAAGCCTGGATTTCGGTTCTGGTTTCCCATATGGGTGTCAGGGATGCAGGTACTTGGTCCATTGCATGCTGCCTCCCAGGGCTCACTTTAGCAGAAAGCTGGAACCAGAAGATGCTGCTTGGGACACCTGCATTCCATGTTGTAATGGCAATGCAGGCATCCCAACTGGCATCTTTTTTATTTTTAAAGCATATATTTATTTGAAAATCAAAGTTAAACGGAGAAGGAGAGACAGAAATTTTCCATCTGCTGGCTCATTCCCTAGATGTTCGCAACAGCCAGGGTTGGGCCAGGCAAAGGCCAAGAGCCTTTGCCCATTCTTTCATGTGAGTGTTCGGTGCCCAAACCCATGGGCCCTCTTGGGCTGCTTTTCCTAGGGTATGAGCAGGGAGCTGGATTCAAGTGGAGTGGGTGGAACACAAACTGGTGCTCATGTGGGCTGATAGTGTCACAGGCTTTATGTGCTGTGCCTCTGTGCTGGTCCCCCAAGGGGC